TATGTGTGTGTGTGTGTGTGTGTGTGTGTGTGTAAAATAGATTAACAAAGAAGAACCATTATAGGATGAAAGCACATGGCATGCTGTGGGGTGGATGGGTGAATGAAATCAAAGTCCACCAATGCAAACACTTCCTTCCAGGATAATATTTAGATTTTAATTTCTTCTTTTTTTAGTTTAAATATTTTTTTAAGCCCCAAAGATGGTTGAGCCAGTTTAAGATAGCGCAACATCTGCCTGGCAATATGGCTACTTTCAAAAGTACAGCTCTCAGCGGGATATTTATTTAATTTGTATTGGTTTTGGACCACTGCCTATAATGAGAAAAGATATGGGCAGTTGCTGGGGGTGGGGGGATGGTAACGGGGAAACATACCTTTTTTGAACATTAAAGTACAAAAAGCCTTTGCATGTATTAATGTTTAGTGAAAATTCAATAACTTTTCCTTTAGACACTTTGCTTCTGATGCTTATAAAGACAAGGGAGAATTGAGTCAGGCAGCAAATCAGGAATTAAATCAGGGAAGCATATGTAAATTGATTCTTGTAAGGATTTTTCTTGTGTTCCTTCTCTTCGTTCTGTGTTTTCCAGCCAAATTTTACATCGGCAGAATTTTTCTCAGAGCACAAATGCTGCATTATAATCCTAGATAATGTTTTGCAAAAGCAAAACAATGTACGTTGTGTGCTTTATCTAAGTCTTGGGTAGTGATCCTCTTGATTCTGGTAGCATCAGCAGTGCTCGGTCTTGGCCCACAGTGACATCTTCTCCTTCTCTAACTTCAAGCAGAGCTCTCTCCTCTTTTCCTTGCTATACTCTTATGACCCACAGTGGCTTTTGCCTGCTAAAGAAATCGTATATTACTGGTAGACCAGATTTAGACTTGGTCATTCCTGTTTTTTTGGTACCACTGTTGGAAAGACATGATGTTACAGCTCTTTGTTAGTGGTCCATATGCAATGAAGCTGGGAATGGATTTTTAGGTAGTTTTATATGAATGTATAATGATATTTTCCATGCTGTGGATAAGTGAGAAAACATGCCTCATGATACAAACATTTCTGACATTTCCCAAACACCCTGTTAAATGTTTAAGGTTTATACTGTTAATGATCAATTTTAAAAAAAGATTTTTTTGTGTGATTTTAAAGCTTAAAACTGGAGTATGCCATTTCTGTCCACATCAAAATGTTTCAGATTTTGATTTTAAATTCTCATTTAAATTGTCATTGACTACCTCTGAATTTTAAATCAAAAGGCAGATTGGTAGGTCGCATTTTGGATTGTTGTAGTTTTTTTGCTCAAATGGCTGCCTTTTGATGGCAAGTACTGAAAGCACCCCAGAGGTTCTCAAATTCTGGAACCAAAGTCTTAGAATGCATGCTGGGAAAAGAATAAAATGTAAACCTACTGGTTGGCATGAACAGATGGCAATATGAATATTAGAAATCTATTTTTTTAACATAAATTTACAGTTTGTTCTGAGCTGAGGCAAATGTTCATTTAAATCAGACTTACTTTCAGCAAGGATGAAGAGAGATTAGTGCCAGTCTTTCTCCAATGAATGTTAAGTTGATAAAATGACATTTTCAAAGTGTCTAGAATTCAAGTGGGTCTGTGTGTCTCTTTTAAACACTGAGCCTTGGAGAAATGTTGCTATCCCTGCTTCTTCAGTCTGAGCTGCAGAATACCTTCAATTTTAAGGTTACTTTTTTTTTGCTGTAAGTTATACTCTGCCATCTTAAAAGGACAAGAATCTATGGCCTCTCAGATTCAAAATTTGTTAGTTTAAATTTGTAGCCAATTTCTCTATAAAATCTAAAGTGAATTGGACAAGGAATCCTGAATTATGACACTCTAAAAACGAAAGGGTAAGAGACACCAGGTTTTTCATCTGACAAAGTTCTTGTAGCTAGACTAAGGCCAATAAATCTGCAGTGGTTTATACCAGCACAGAGATCTTACGCAGGCCCGTAGCCCGCGTGGGGCCCATGGGGCCCGGCCCCCTCGCTGGTTTTGCGGGCCCCCTCCATCCTGATCCTTTGCTCCCCCCCCCCCCCCGCCGCCGCCGCCTCCGGCATCCCGCAGGCTGCTGGGGCGTCCGAGCGGCTCAGCGCGGCGGCTTCTCGTCATGGCGCTCTCCTTTGTGGCGGAAAAAGAAGGCGGGCTGGCAGCCTCCGCTCGCCAGCAGGGTTAGCCTGTACGAAGGGGGGTGCGGAGTTCGATGCTCTGGCTGCCGCAGGCCCCCGCCGGAGCCTGCCGAGCCGGTAAGAGCCAACGCCGCCGAGGCCTGGAGCGCGCGGCAGTGTGTGTGTGGGGAGCCTCTGGTGCATCCCGGCCTCTCTTTGAGGGGGGGGGAGTTGTGGGGCTTCCAGAGCTGCCAAACGGCGGATTCAGCGGGGGGAGAGATGCGGGCCCGTCCGGGGAGGCAGGGCGGGGGAGCAAGACCCCAACGTCTGGATGCCCCTCCCTCCGCCAGCCCGCCTCCCGGCGTCCAAAATCTGAACCCAGGACGGTGCGGGTTGCCACCCTCTCCGCAGCCTTTAGCTTCGGCAGCTCCTCTGCAGCCAGCGTGGCAACGCCGCTCGCTTCCACTGGCGGCGGCGGCAAGAGCAGCATCAGCATCAGCGCCTGCCTTCCCTCCCCCTGCCACCACGGATGAGCACAGCCGTGAAGGGGGGGCGGGGGAGTGAGGTGGCGATGGCGGCGCAGGCCTTTCTTGGGGACGGGTGGGGGGGGGGGGGGGAGACATCCTGGCTAGGGGTCCACGAAGGCCACGGTCGGGGCCGTCCGTGGTGTGGCTGACTCGGGAGGGAGGCCGCCAGTGCGTCATGGAGGAGGACCGCCCTCCAGTCTTCTGGGGTGCGAGCCGTGCGGAACAAAAAATAACAGCCGGTCCCTGAAGAGCCGCCGCCTGGAGGTGATGAGTTTTTTAAAGAGACCGGTCGATCCTTTGGCCCATCTGCCCGGGTTTGCCTTTCAGTTGGAGCAGACGTCCTTTGCTCTCAGTTGTTATGGAGGATTGGTGCCAACTGGTTGTGTTTTCCAGTGATCTCCCCATTGCTTCAGTGCCGCTGCAGCTTCTGGCCCGTCGCCGCCTCAGGAGCGCGCGGTTAGAGGGGAGGAGCTGAGATAGCATCTTGAGATCCTTAGGCTGAGGCTCCCCAGGAACTGTAGTTCCGAGGACCCAGAAACTACAATTCCCAGGATCCCTCTTGCCAGCCCCTACGGGATGCGGACCCAGCCTCTTCTGTTGCAAAGGGGAGGGAGGGAGGGAGACTTGGCAGGAAATGCCGCCCCCCACTCGCCCCAGCCTGGCAATCGGGCCAGAAGGCAAACTGGAGGGGGCTCCTTCAGGGCCCCTGCAGCGACGCTGCGATCTTTGTCAAGGGGCGGGGGGGAGTCTGAGGAAGGGGACTCATTTGCAAAGTTGGGCGAGCCTGTGCCTCGACTCCTCCGGACACGGGTTTTGTGTAAATGCTGTTTTCCCCGGGACTGGCGGCTTTGTGGGCTGGAGATCCCTCCTTGAGGTGGGGAGAGGGGTGGAGACGCACGTGGTTTTGGCTGTGCTAGGTGAGTGCAAGAGGAGATTGCGGAGAGGTTTTTTTTGCACATCTGAATAGAGATTGGGGGACCCCAGCAGGAAGGAAGGGTTGCAGGCAGGAGCAGCTCCCCTGCCTTCAAAACTCATGCACACCAGAGGGAGAGAAGAGGAGGTTTGACTGGAGCTTTGAATATGCATTTTTGAAAAGGATCAGGGGCAATGCTCCCTCTAAGCTGTGGAGTCTTGTGAGCAAAAATTCTGCTTTGTGAATTACATGGAGAGTAAAATGTACTTAGCAGGCTCACAGCTTTATTGCCAACGCGGGGCACGCTGGGGGTGTGCCCAGTGTGCCCGGCATCATTATGTCACTTCCGGGTGATGTGTGAGCGGCCTCCCCACTTTCCCCAGGGCCCCCCCACCAGGAAGGGGTTAGCTACGGCCCTGACACACACACACTCCGGCCTCCCCACTTTCCCCAGGGCCCCCCCACTAGGAAGGCTTTAGCTACGCCCCTGGCCCGGGGACCAGGCCAGGCTTGGCAAGAGAGTAGAGAGAGATGGGATTCCCTTCCTCAAGTCTGGTGGACCCTCACTTGTAATGTTACAATGTCATAGCACCGGAACAGTTTGGCTAGTACCAATTTTTTAAAGAGAAAAAATAAAGCCTTCCAGTGGCAGGGTGGGAATGGCAACCATGGAGGGCTGAGGAAAGGAAACTGCAGGGAAAACGTTCCATATGGATACTCCGTTGCCACTGTGAATGCCTCTGCTTTTGCAGCAGCCATCAGCCCCTACTTCCATCCATGGTTTCCCATAGAGTTCTCCCTGGCTCTGTAAGAATTGGTTGTCTCTCATTCCTAGAAGCTTCACATGTGTTGTCCTCACCTTTTCTGCCTCCGTCTCAATCACAGCCAGGGAGGAGCCATGGGAAGCACAAAAGCTTTGGCTGGAAGTCCAGTTTTTTTCTTCCTCTGAGAAGAAGTAGCATTTTCCTTCATAGTTAAGCCATCCAGTGGGGCAGGCCGGCCTGCAGGGTACAGAGTCATCCACGTCACAGTGCTGCTGCTGCTGCTGCTTAGATTCTCTCCCCAAGACCTTCACTAAGAAAAGACAGAGGGAAAATTATCCTCTGGACACCAAGTCCCACAATTAGACACACTGGGGCTGCAATCACACACACACACTCAATAATCCACTTTCAATCCGCAGCCCCAAAAAGATCAAACGGATCATTTCATATGCAAAGTTCCCCCAAAGAAATGCCTGCCCAAAATATTCTTGAAAACCTTCAAAGAAGAAGGTTCTACAACTCCCCAAAGAGTTTATTCTGTGGCTGAACGGGGCCGCCTCAGTAGAGGCAGGAATATTCCCAGGGACTAGAATGGCTACTAACATTATTTGGAGAAAGCAATGTTCTTTACATACATGAAAACAGCAAAAGGTATCCGCCAGCAACACAACTTGCACGTGGTCAACATGACCTTTGCTAAACCTACGATGGCCTCCTCCCTGTCCACAGTACAGATGTGCAAACTGCACCATATCATGGCATGAACAGACACACTGAACGTGCAAGTCAGATCCCCACCACGAAAACCCCACACGGACAAACTCATGAAGCTCAAACTACAGGTTACTTGCAAATACATGCAATCGCACCCTGGCAGTGGCTTTCTTATAATGAGAACTAGCTTCAAGAGGAAGCAGTTGAGAGTTTTGCACGTGCCTAAACCTTCCTAATGCTTTTCTTTAGCAGAAGTGGCTGCGGGGGTTTTCAGTTGTATGTCATGCACAATGCAGCCTAGAGATTAAGGAGAGGAAATGAACCCGTAAGTATCTCATATTACACAAAGGTACTTAAATCCAGGGGTCATTTTGTAGAAAAAGAGGTGCAGGAGCTCATTAGCATAACTCATTAGCATAACGTATTTGCAAATGCCACACCCCCTGACATCACCAGAAGTGTGTCGGAAGGCAGCACCCACCGCTCAGGCTCCACTGGACTGTTTTGGGTTGCTAGCTATGGGGGGGGGGACGTGCAGATCTGTCCTCGCAGAGGAGGGAGAGCTTGTACCTGAATAAAACTTGGTCTTAAAGGTGCCACTGGACTGTTTTGGACCGGGGGGCCGGGGGAGCTCTGCAGCTTACCTGGCTGCTTCTTGCTCTGACTGAGGGCTGCTGGGAACAGGGGGTGGGGCTTGTTGCATGTGCTCGCCCCCTGGGCTCTTTACTGCCGGGGCTCCGCTCCTGTGCGCTCCTGCAGGAAATGACCCCTGCTTAAATCCAAACGATGAACCCATAACTTGACTAAACGGGGAGTCAAAGGCATAAGCAAAGGATCTCAGCAGCTTTGACTCCCTTGTCCTCAGTTAGGATCCATTTATCAGTAGCACCATGGAGACATTCACAGAATTATAAGAGTAGCCTTGATGGATCAGGCTAACAGCCCATCTGGTCTATTACCTTGTTTCACACAGTAGCCAAAGTGATGGCCTTGGTAGGCCTACAAGGTAGGAGATGAAGGCCTAGGCCAACTTAGTTCCCCCCCATCCCAGGGCTCACCAGGGCCTCCCCCACCCCTTTTTTGCTGTCAAGTCACAGCTGACTTATGGCAACCTCATGGGGTCTTCAAGGTAAGAGATGTTCAGAGGTGGATTGCCATTGCCTGCCTCTGCATAGCTAACCTGGATTTCTTTGGTGGTCTCCCATCCAAATGCTAACCCTGCTTAGCTTCCATGATGTGATAAGATCAGGCTAGCCTGGGCCATCCAGGGCCGGGCCTTTTCCCTGTACAACTTCAATAAGCATCTGAATGCAGAAGCCATGGGTGGAGGGTAGGCTTGTGACCAGGCCCATAGCCAGGATTTTGTCACTCGGGGGGGCCTTGTCACTCGGGGGGGCCTTTAAATAAGTCAGGGGGCACTGGCGTCACAAAATAAAAAATTAAACTAAAATAAAATTTTAAACAACTAACTTTTGCAGCATTTGCACTCTGCCTGGGGAAGCAAGCCACACTCGGGGAAGGGGCAGCGGTGGGGAGTCCTCCGGGTGGCCCAGAGAGTCAGGAGTCCTCCAGGCAGCACAGAGAGCTGGGGGCCAGGGGGCTGGATGGAAGTCAGGGGGGGCTTGGCAGAAAGTCAGCGGGGCAGGCCCCAAAATGGCCCACTGTAGCTACAGGCCCGCTTGTGACAGAGACAAGGAACCATGACTTGTCACCACCCTTGTGATTCCTCAATTCAGACACTCATCAGAGTAAAGAAGTGACAACATCGCTGTGAATTACACACAGCCAAAGTCTAAGAATAGCGTTAGAAACCTCACCTGTTGATGACCAATCAGTTACTGTAATGATGAAAAGAACAAGGGGGACAGCAATGCCAACAGCAATGCCAACGTATCTGATCATGACAGCGACAACTCCCTGAAGGGAAACAAAAGAACATAAGAAGAGCCCTGCTGGATCAGACCAATGGTCCATCTAGTCCAGCATCCTGTCTTGCACAGTGGCCAACCAGTTCTACTGGGGGTCCAACAACAAGGCATAGAGGCCATAAGAACATAAGAGAAGCCAATGTTGGATCAGGCTAATGGCCCATCCAGTCCAACTTTCTGTCACACAGTGGTCAAAAATACCAGGTGCCATCAGGAGGTCCAGCAGTGAAGCCACTGCTTCTCCTGATTTTGAGTACCAAAGGTAACAAAAAGAAAGGGGTGGGGGATTGTCCTTCATAGTGCAAAAAAAACAAATTGTTATCATATAGAGTGCAAACAAGCCCTATATGCAGTGTAAACAATCCCAGTAAAGTGTAACGATGTCCCAATAACAGAAAAGGTGCACACAATCCCAGGGAAGTATAACAATTTCTGCATGAGTGAAGTACACCAGTTTCTAAATGTTCTGCTAACATATGAATTTGGGCTGCAGTCCCATTGAAGCCTGGCCTTTCGCAGTTGTTGTGAACTGTCTCTTAAAAGACTAGAGTCAAAACATCTACCTGTATGATACAACATCTAAGCAGATTTTGTCGAAGGCTTTCACGGCCGGAGTTCATTAGTTGCTGTAGATTTTCCGGGATGTGTGGCTGTGGTCTTGGCATTGTAGAACCTGACATTTCGCCAGTAACTGTGACTGGCATCCTCAGAGGTATAAACACAGAAAGATGGAATACTCTCTGTGTCAAGGTGAGAAGAAAATGGTAGGCAGTAAATTTATATCTACTCCAGAAGGTGGGTAGGGCTGAGTCATGGTCTTGTAGGAGTTCCCCAGGCTATGGACATGCTAATAGAGGAGCTATCCTGATTTCCTGAGGAGCTTTCAATTACCATGTCAGATTACACAGGGAAGCCATTGAAATTCACAAACATAAACATAATTTCAACAGGAAAGAAGAGAGTTTAAAAATGAATAGGACATGGCTTCCTGTCCTGAAAAACACAACAGGCTTTACATCAGACAATAGCACTACAGATAAGATTAGAATTTCAACAACCTCCTCAGGAAGCAGGAAACCTCCTCAGGAAAGGTTCTACAATGCCAAGACCACGGCCACCCATCCAGGAAAATCTACAGCAACGAATCTAAGCAGATTCATTACAGCGGAGAGAGTAACACTTGCTGTTTATATCAGCCAATCATGGGGGAAAGAACATTTAAATCATAAGCCTGTAACAAAAAAATATGTGTCTGTTAGTTAAGGCAAAAGTACAGAAAAGGATGGATGCAACAAAAAAGTTGCAAAGCTCACAATTAGAATTTTAAAAATACCTGTAATTCAACTTTTCATGTACGACTATAATAACGAAGAGGCCAAAGGAAATAACAATAGCGTCAGTCCCACTTATGTGAGCTGAGCAGCAACTCAGATCTTAAAGAGGCAGAAACCAAAAGGAAAAGTATCTCATATTACACAAAGGCAGTAATGGCCTATTATGCATGTATAGCTTACTTCCAATTTTCACTGAGGTCAGGTCTGTAGGACTTTACTCCAAATGCTGGGCCTGTATTCTGGACCATTCCCCCCCCTCCAATTTTCTGTTGGGAATCACAGAGTATAACTTCTGCATAGTAAAAGGTAAAGGTAAAGGTTCCCTTGCTTGAAAGCCAGTCGAATCCGACTCTAGGGTTGCGGTGCTCATCTCCATTTCAAAGCCAAAGAGCCAGCGCTGTCTGAAGACATTTCCGTGGTCATGTGGCCGTCATGACTAAACACCAAGGTGCACAGAACCCTGTTACCTTCCCACCGAAGTGGTCCCTATTTATCTACTTGCAATTTCTTGCTTTCGAACTGCTAGGTTGGCAGGAGCTGGAACTAGAGACAGGAGCTCACTCCGTCATGCGGCAACTCGGGTCTCGAACTGCTGAACTACCGACCTTCCACAGCCTGCAGTTCAGCGTCTTAACCACTTGAGCCACCGCAGTTCCTATACTTCTGCATACCAATGAGAAAACCTGGATACTGTTGTGGCACCAAAATAATCTGCAGAGATTTAAGTTTCTGGCACAAAGTACCGAAGAATAATTACATATGCAGAATGAAAGGAAATTATTTGAATCAAAGGCATACCGCCTCGAGTTCTGGAAAAATCAGGAGTAAAGACTGAATGCAGAAAGGCCCAAAATGAATGCATTACTTGGGACAACAGCCCACAGCCTCCCCCTCATCTCCAAGGAGAACAGCCCTGCAAAAACATTCAAGGGGGAAGCACTAGGGCAGGGATGGGGAATTGAAGTTCTACAGAGGTGACAAAAGGGAGGAAAGGAAGAGGTCACTACAAAAATCACCCTGAGCCTCCCTAGCAGCCTTCCTGCATCTCTCCAGTAGCCCATTACACACCCTGGTTCAATGCCAGAACCTGTTCAAACAGTGCAGATCCTTCTTGAGTCTAGCAGGAAAAGATAGGAAAAGTGGAGAGCTCCCAGGTATTAAATGCTCTGACATATCACATCCCAGATACTGAATGACCAGGCCCAATAAAAATTATCCGTATTGACATCCTTGTGTATAGTTTTATATCCTGTTCCTTATTTGTACTAGGCAAGGGAAAGTATCAAAATTAGGTACTAGGCATATTGTTATAATTATGCTTTTATTGTGCTAATACTCTATTAAATATTTTTCTAGCAGTTTTTCAATTTCTGTGTTAACTCTTGTATTTTGTTCATTTTGCTGTGTTTTTCTCTGCCTTTTTGATTCAACAGGGAGGCCTGGGAGCATGACCCATCACGCTACTGGGAGGCCTGGGAGCATGTTCCCATCACGTTACTCAGTCTCCGGTTCCAGACCACCTCCAGGAGCACCCGGCCTTGGACAGCTTTCCAGCCTCAGCATGCACGCTGTGCTAGGGAGGACTCATCCTGCCTCCCTCTGGGACCTGGGAGCAGCTCCCCCACCTCCTCCCCCTCCCATCTCTGACTTTCCCTGAGGGCTACCCCATCACACGTCCAAGAGGGTGGGTTCTGACCCAGGGTTGCCCTTGCTGGGATGGCAGAGGTCAGTTTTTCAAATGTCACTGGATGCCTTTTTTTGTTCAGCTACAAAACACAGAAGGGGTCCAACAGCACCTTGATCCCACACTTAGGCCTCCCCCCCCTCCAGCACTCTGCTGGCTACTGTGTGCAATGTGCATAGGGAACAGGCTGGTGAGTGGTCTGAAGGTGTGTGTGGCTACTCTGGGAAGGGGGGGATCCCTCGATCCCAAAACCTCCCATAGCTCGCCTGACATGCAATTTGTTGGTAGAATGGGGAACCCATGGTGGATATAAGGGAACTGCTGCCAGAGATGTGTATGTGTGTGAAATAGCATCCCAGCCCATTATCTAAACCACCCATTTCCCCCTTTTGAGATTTGTGGGATCAAAGTGTCAGCTCCAGCCTCTGTTGGGGTTGTGCTGCTGCTGGACTGTCCTCCCTGTCCATTGGCTCTCTGTGGGGAGTGGGAGTGGCATTAAGAGGCAGTGGCCAAAACGGCAGCTGGTTATTGGCTGTGCCTGTGTCTGCCACTCATGGGGGCATCATCAGTTGTTTCCTGATAGGTGGATGTTGCTGGAGTTGCTATGGATACTGGCACACGTGCTATGCTATCTGTGCCTTGAAGAGGACAGATCCAGGTGGGCAGCCACGTTGATCTGAAGCAGTAGAACAAATTCTGAGTCCAGTGGCACCCCTAAGACCAACAAAGGTTTATTCAAGATATGAGCTTTCGTGCACACGCACACTTCTTGTATCTGGAGAAGTGTGTGCACATGCAAGCTCATACCTTGAATAAAACTTTGTTGGTCTTAAAGGTGCCACTGGATGCAAACTTTGTGTTTCTGCAGAGGACAGTGTGTTGTTTTCCCAGTTTGGTGTAGTGGTTAAGTGTGCAGACTCTAAACTGGGAGAACCGGGTTTGATTCCCCACTCCTCCACTTGCACCTGCGGGTTGACCTTGGGCAAGCCATAGTTCTGGCACAGCTGTTCTTGAAAAAAAGCAGTTTCTGCCAGAGCTCTCTCAGCCCCACCTACCTCACAGGGTGTCTGTTGTGGGGAGGGGGGGGAAAGGTGTTTGTAAGCCGCTCTGAGACACCTTTGGGTAGTGAAGGGCGGGGTATAAATCCAATCTCTTCTTCTTCTTCTCCTCCTCCTCCTCCTCCTTCCCCTGTAGTACATCCATAAGGAATGGACTAGCACCTCTGCAATTGTGCTGATAGCCAGCTGCATCCACCTCAGTGGCCGTCAGGATCACATGGTAAATCTCCCCAGGCCCATAGCTATGGTAGGGCTTTTGGGGACTCTGCCCCCTTTCTTAAAGGCTCAGCTTCACAAGAATATTTCCTGTAAACGCTTTTTTTCAATTATTTTAAAACATTTTTAAAGGTGTGCAGACCTTTAAGCAGAGTTGGTTTCTGTAGTTGTCTAATTCCTGCACTAAGCAAGGGGGTTGGAGTAGGTGACCTCTAGGATCCCTTCTAACTCTGTGTCAAGAAACTGGTCTCTTTTAAGAGAGTTTTTCTGCCTAAGTGTTAGCTTTCTTGACTATAGAAGTCATCACCCCCACCTGCTGGCTTGTTATCAGAGGGTTTTTTAAAAAATAAATAAATCAAACTTTATTAAAGTAAATGAACAAATGAACAAATAAACATACAGGAAAAGTTCAAGAAACTTCAAGTACAAACATTACAAAGACAGTTAACAAATATTCACTATACCATGCAAACAATTAAAGCAATACAAAGGAACAATAGGTCACACTATAATAAAGAGTAATAAACAAAATTCAATATACAATATTTATGGCATCTAAAATACATTTAAGCTCATTGCAAGACGCTAAATGTTCTAGAACTGGAAACCATATTTTCACAAATTTCGAAGCATAACTTTCTGTTTCATTCTGTGATAAGGAATCTGATAATTTATCCATTATGCAGTATTCTTGTATTTTTAAAAGCCAGTCAGAGATAGTAGGTCTTTTATTGCTTTCCCAAAATTTGGCAAGAGCCGCTCTAGCAGCAGCACAAAGAATTTCTATTAAATTATGAGTAAACGGATGACGCTTAGCAATTGGCCAGTGATTCAATACCAAATTTTCTATATTCAATGAGATTTCCAAGTGAGTTATTTCATATATATGTTGTAACACTAGTTTCCAAAATTGTTGTACAACTATACAGTCCCAACCAACAGTGCTTGTAGGTGCCCTGTTCATGACATCCTCTCTAACATAATTGTGATTTGTCCTTTTGGGAATAGCTTACTTTTTGTGGAGTTAGTTACTGTCTGGTAATTACTTTAAAGAATTGCATATGAATAGATATACTCTTAGCATGTAAGGTATAAGAATTCCAGATTTTTCTCCATTGGTCTGAAGTGAGATTTATATTACAATCTTTATGCAAGTATTTAGTATAAGATGGCATATTCACATGTATTACTGAGAGTAGTATTTTATAAACAAACGATATATAATGTTTATAAGTAGAATGTTGTTGTTTAATTAGGGTTTTAAATGCAGTAAGATTTGTTTTTAGATGTGTCTGGATGGGTTTTTTTTATTTAAACAATGACATATTTGCAAGTATTGATACCAGGGTATAGTTTCTTGACCTTTTGTTTCAAGAGTGGTTTTTTTCTAATATTATACCCTTAGATGTGATGTCAATTAATGTCTACCTGGCCTAGAGAGTGATCATCTACCCTTCCTTCTATCTCTTAATCCCTGCTCACGGAGAGGGTGGGGTACAAATTAAATAATAATAATAATCTCCTGAAAGCTATCTTAAAATCCAAACTGAGACACAGATCTTACCAACAGAACAAGTAGGCTGCCATGCCAAGTGGACACCCTCATTAGAGCAAAAATTGAAGGGATTCTTAGCTGAGGAGGAATGTATGGCAAAATAGAACAGCCATTATTGGTCATCCAGAGGGTGACAATCCCCTGATTCCCTATGACAATCTTATTCAAAGACTAAAGCCTCTAAAAACACAGAATTACAAAACAAGAAATCAAGATGTCCCTCCTAGAAGTGGTTTGACAAGGATTGTCTAGATGCCAAAAGATCCTGTATTTCTGCATTCCAGACCTGATTTAGAAAGTCAGCTCTTTATCAATCTTATTTGAATGCAAAGAAATCCTACAAACTAACTGTGGCTAAATATCACAAGTAGATGGGGAATCCACCACCTTAAATTCCAAACGGGTGGGAGGTTCATCCCAACTAATGAGATCACACTCTGAAGGGTTGACTGAGCCACTGGGCACACTCTTAAGCATAGCTTCAGATTTGGCCCTTAAAGACCCTGATTTAAGAAGAGGGGAACGTAGAACAGGAGTGTCAAACATGCAGCCCGGGGGCTGGATCAGGCCCCCGGAGGGCTTCCATCAGGCCCGCAGTTGAACTGGCCATCTCCTGCTTCCAGTTTTGCTGCTGCTGCTGCTGCTGCACCATAGCTTGCTTCACCAGACTCTCTCACTCGCTCAGCCATTTCATATTTTCCACTGGGTCCTAGACTCAGAACTCTGAGCATGAGATTTTTGTCATGAATGTCAATAAATCAAAACTAGGTTTGCAGCTTACAGAGCTACTGTTTTAAGCATGTTTTTATTTTAAGTAAAAAAAAATCTGTATGTTTGTGTCCTTTATAAAGTTTATATCTCCACTACCTGGCATTACATTTTATGACACACATGATCTGGCCCAACAAGGTCTCATTTATGTCAGATCCAGCCCTCGTAACAAATGAGTTCGACACCCCTGACGTAAAACGTTATTAACATCTCGGTAGAGGAAAATCCCCCTGGAAATCAGAGAGTTTTTCCATTGCATAATCAGCATTGGAATAAATGGGGTCTTGAAAGATCACAGTTATCTTCTTGTTCTGGGGGAGCTGTATAGGGTTTCAAGTATCCTCAGGGTAATAGGAAAACCTTTGATATTTAGTTGGGCTATAAGAACTGTACTATGCCAAATTTGGAGTTACAGAAGGGGATCCTACTGTCCAATAAAACATTCAGACAGATCTGATGAGTCTATAACACCAATTGGCTAGTGTTTAACACACCAAGAGCCTCTTGTAGTCAGTGCTCAGTGGGGAAGCAGAAAGAGGGGTGGGATGGTATTAATGGCTTCACTGATACACAATTACTGCAGTTAAACTATGTCACTACATCAATAAGATGGTCCAACTTAACAAAGTTTGAGTCCAGTGGCACCTTTAAGACCAACAAAGTTTCATTCAAGGTATAAACTTTCGCGTGCAAGTAAGGACAGAATTCAGCTGGCTAAAGATAGTGCTCACTGTCCTAGCTGTCAGGCAAGAAAATTCAGCAGCCATATCAGCCCCTCCTTCCCCAATCCCATGGCCACCAGAAAAAGGCCTACCTGAGACCGGCCAGTTTGTGAAGATAGATAAGATAAATAGCCACCGAAGAGTGGGGGGCAAATCAGGAAACCTCTGGTTCTTTGCAGATTAGGAAAGACAGCAATTCCGTCTCTCCCTGAAGCCAGCTGTACTTTGCCAAAACGTATGCCAGAGCGCCATGCGATTGTGTCTGCTCAGGACGCCATCTTCCCCTGGATCTCCAAATCTTCAATCTATTTCAAGAGGCGACAGGAACCGCATTTCCCTAGATATCACCCTAGAGCAGGGGTCCCCAGCCTTTTTGAGCCTGTGTTCACATTTGGAATTCTGACACGGCATGGTGGGCGCTACGACAAAACGACTGCCACAAGATGGCTGCTGTCAGAGCCAGCCACAAAAAGATTGCCACAGCTTAACGTCAATAACACAGTGCAGATCTTTGTGCCGTGGTGGCAGCTGCTGCCGAGGAAGCATTTTAAAAAATCTGCACGGCCAATCAAGCCTCTAAGAGTCAATCAGAAGCCTTGCTGGGCAAAACCCTACCTGTCCCCACCAACTTTCTAAAAACACTCAGTGGGCATCAGAAAAGGCACCAGGGGGTGCCATGGCACCCACAGGTACCACACTGGCGACCCCGACCTAGAAAGAAAGGAGACAGGCTAAACGAGTCCATCATATCCAGCTAGGTCGCTGTAAGGCAGGGCAGGGCAGCCTCTGCATCCCCCAGCAAGTCCTGAATCGTAGTAGCTCATTTTGCATGAGCTAAGCTGGCATTCAGCTACAAGCTTCATAGTTTCATAGATATGGCAAGCAGGGTTTCTTCAGTAGAAGGAATTTCAGAGCAGGAATTAGAACCGCACACTATCTCTCTGCCACACACAGTAGTGACTGGAATTTCCCTTCGCCCCTCCCAACTGGGTGTCTAAAGGACACACATGACATACTATTGATGGGAAAAGACAGAAATACAAAAATAGTACTGTATTTACAAAAAGGATTTTTAATTTTTAATTTTTTTTTTACCTTTACTGGCTTTCTAAAAAAAGAGGGCCGTCTTCCACTCAGGTATATACGGATCTGCTGAGTGCGAGAGGTGATTTATGGTGCCTGTAGGAAGAGCTGGAGAGCTTTGGGGAAAGCATGCCGATTCGTTCACCAGTGGAGAAGAGTAGCAAGCTGCTGCATCTGCAGTATTTGCCTTTCAAGGGCGAGGAGCTGGGTGAACGTGTTGTCTAGGTTGAGAAATCGCACCACCCTGCTTGGCAGATGATAACCAGGAACAGTAGGTGTGGGCTCCTCTGCTGACTCATGTTTCAGGCTCCACATCAGCTTTGGCTTCTTCTCCTGAGCTTTGGGCCTCAGTTGCTTAGCAGTTGGGTGTCTCCCGCCACCCCCAGGAGAGAGAAACTCAAAAGGCTGTGTGTGGCTTTTACAGCAGTTTAGCACATCATAAGCTATGAGTTTGTGAACATTTTAGATAAAAGGAAGGATAAGGCAAGTAGTCAGTTTTAAACTGCCCTAGTGGATCGGAGATATCCCATTCTGGGGGGAACAAAGAAAGTAAGGCGCAGATCCCATTCAACAGATTAGGAATGTACAAGCCTGACAGTTTGGGGGTGGGGTGGGGGTTTCTTTAATAATCATGCCAAGCAGTGTCTATGCTAATCAACTGTTTTGCAGCCAATTGTCTCTTTTTTTCAATTACCAGATTTTTCCCCACATCATGTGAGCAGGTTCAGTTGTGTTTTCTTGGAAACTATTACAGTAGCACCAAGTGCACACAGACACTCCCTATGTTGTCTTTGGTCTCAAAAACAGCTGACTCCTATCAAGACTCAGCTGTGACAATTGAACCTGAGCAATTTATGGCTGAGGAGGTCACATGGTCATGCTTGTTTTTATAAGGTTGCCTGTAGATTTGCCAGTTTCGGGTTGGGCAATGAGCATAGTGCAAAGTGTGTGGTGATACCGTCAATTATATAATTGTGGTGGAGCTGCCGCTGAGGTACATGCATAGCCTTCGCTTTCCATAGAAAAGGTTTAGATGAACTTTGGTCAGATTTGGAGCTGGGGGGAAATGATGTTTCATTCCTTTACATCATTTTATCACCAAACTTGGGCCAGAAGTATGCAGCAGTGCCACATTCTAACTGGTGATGATCTTTTAAGCAAGGTTGAGACCAAACCAGTAGAACACAGCCTCTTAAGTTTCTTGAACCATTTGGTGAGACTGACAGCCTGTCAGAGGGGGGGGGGAAATCAGATGTGGGAAAGTATCTCATCAGAATATGGTTGAGAAAGGCTGATGTGGACACATTTGAAAATGACCAAATCCCTGGATATGCTCCCACTTACATCAACTCCATCAGAGAACATATATTCAGTGGGTCATCAGAGATTAACTCCATTCTAGTCATCAGAGAGTAACTCCTTTCTCCTAAGCCTTCAATGCTGAACCCTGTGGACAATGGCTGGGAGGAGGTGGAGTGGCATTTGATACCAGCAAAATGTCTCAGAACCACAGTGAACGAACTACTGACACTGTGGAGCTGTAAAACTTGCAGCTCTAATGCATGCAGGTGGTGTAAGAACTCCAGAATATTTTGGTGTCTTCTGCAAGAGTCAAAAGAACTGCAAAAATGTTGCATAGCAAATCACTTTTTGCATGAGGACTCAGGTGGTCTGAAGCAGCAGAACAAATTTTGAGTTCAGTGGCACCTTTAAGACCAAGGTATAAGCTTTCATGTGCATGCACACTTATGTATGTACCTGAAAGCTTATGCCTTGAATAAAACTTAGTTGGTCTTAAAGGTGCCACTGAACTCAAAATTTGCTCTGTATTCGGTCTGCAACCTTTGTTTAAGAATGAGAGCTTAACCAATATGTAAGCATTATAAATATAAAAAAGCACTCTAATATGTTGTTTACTGTTATTTTAGGCAGCACAATAAATTATTTTCTGTACTATTAGGAGTTGCCACCATAACAATTCTCCTGCTACATTTCATCCCAATATTACAAACATTAAAAAATAACAGTTTGTCTAGGTATATCATTTCCCCCAATATTACAAATATTAAAAATAATACTTTATTTTGTTTTTACAACAAAAGGTATAGTGTATTGAGTTTTATTGACTCTAAAAACATGTGGTTTGACATCAATAAGATGTCAATAAGATGTCACATCCTACAAGAATGTGAAAAAAGATCCACCAACTTGCAAAATGGTGTCTACGGGGAAAATGTCTGTCTCTACAATTAAGATAATGGTATATTTGGCTTTATCAACCTCAAAAACATATATTTTGACACCAAGATAAGCATCCTACATGAATTTAAAATATCACAATAACCACATCCACCCTCTTGGGAAATGGTAGCTACAGGGAAAATGTCCCAAAATTGGAATGTCTACCCAAGAAAATTCAGGACCTCTGCTATGACTGTGAGGAGAAATGGTGATCCAAATAGTCTAAAGTTTTCACGTCAGGACCCAAAGACCAAAGAGACTTCCTTCTCTTTTCACACTTACTTTGTGACTGCTCAATATAATTTTATTCATACTGTTTTGTTTAAAAACCCCAGTTCTGAACACATTGCTTCCCCACCTTTCAGTAAAAGCTATTTGTTTAAGTGCTGTTCAGGTTATGAAGGGGCATGCACAATTCTGTGACCACTAATCTGGCCTTTTAAGACTTGGAGCAATGCTTCCTAAATTCCTGCCCACTCACACCTCTCCTATACCTGTTACATTGATGACATCTTTATTGTCTGGACATATGATAAAGAAGCCCTGGACAAATTCAACCAGGCATTCAACAACTTTCACCCCACCATCAACCTGCCAATGAAACAATCTTTGCAGGAAATACATTTTCTGGACACCACTGTACAAATACATGATGGATGCATAGATACCACCTTATACCAGAAACCTAGTGATTGACAAACGTATCTACATGCATCCTAAATATACCAAATAATCTATTGTCTACAGTCAGGCTCTATGCTACAACTGCATCTGTTTCAACCCTACAGACAGAGATTGTCACCTGAGCGATCTACAACAAATCTTTTTAGAACTAAAATATCCACCAAATGAAGTCAAGAAACAGATCACAAAGCCAAAACAATACCCAGAGAAAGTCTGTTACAAGAAAGGCCCAAAAGAGGCAATAACAGAACATCACTAGTAGTCACATACAGCTACATCAATGACTTACAAACTCTACTGAATAATGACAGTTCTCTTTCAAAAGTACTGGGGGGGGGGGCAGATCTTTTTCCTGCACACAGATAGCTCCCCAATCTTAAACAACTCCTCACCCACAATAATACATCTAACTTGAACATGGACACTGATACTAGAGCTTGCAGTAAACCCAGGTGCCAACTTTGCTGCTAAATGCACCCAGACAACATGATCATGCAACCTAACAACATCACATACATCATCTCAGGCTCATTCACTTGCTCATCTTCTAACATTGTGTATGCCATTAAATACCAACAGTGCCCTTTGGTTCTCTACATAGGGCAAACAGGTCAAACCCTATGCCAAAGGATAAATGGACACAAATCTGACATCAAGAATCACAAGACTGAGAAGCCTGTAGGAGACGACTTCAGCTTTCTGTAAGATTCGATGGGTGACCTCAAAGTAGCTGTTTTATTGCAAAGGAACTTCAGGAACAGACTAGAAAGGGAAATTACTGAGTTACAAGTTATTACAACATTCAAAACAATGGAATCTTCAGGACTTAACAGGGATATTGGTTTCTAATATCACTACATATGCTAACCTCATTCTGTCCTTACATCTGTATTCTCGCCAATCCCCAGTTCTCACCAATCCTCTTTATTTTATTTTATTTCTTATTTGGCATAGTAGATTGAAATACTAGATGGTAATATAATGTAATGAATAGTAGAATGTAATATAATTTGGAATGGTAGATTGGAATGTATTTCTCTGGTCTGGGGACACAGGAGAAACAGCTAATTGCCCCACCTCAAATAAGAGAATACTGTAAGGTCACCTCCACACTTGAGAGGAGACAGATGGAGCATAATGGCAGGGTCTCAGTTAATTACTCTCAGCATTCCACAATTAAGAAGAATACATCTGCCCATCAATCTCCAATCTTGATATAGTTATTGCCTTCATTACGTTCCCCCCCCCCCAGAAATAAACCCCCTCAAAATGCTAACCATATAAATTAAGCTTGTTATTCCTATTTGGTCCTTGAATCTGTTGAACATCTTCATTATGTTGTATGCTAATTTGCTGCTCACCCTCTACCTATATGTATGGAACAGTAACTTCCATTTCACTGTATCTGAAGAAGTGTGTGTGCTCACGAAAGCTTAGACCTTGAATAAAACTTTGTTGGTCTTAGAGGTGCCACTAGACTCAAACTTTGTTCTAGGGTTACTTGTGTTATCTTGTTGTCCTGTTTCCATTTTAAGATACAATATATCTCATTTCATTGTAAGTGAGTGGTTATGCTAAAGATTGGCATCAACTTTATAAAGAAGGAAGAGTAACACGTGGATTCTTGTTCACCTCTCTGCAAAAGAAAACTTTACTTCTGTCTTTAAAGGTCAGTAATGAATTCAGCAATATTTTACTGTCACTTCCTGAGCGCTACATGCATTGTGTTGGTTGGTCAGCTTCCTTCATAGAAGCTCACTGAAGGCTGCTGGCTGCCCCGTTTTGCACACAACGTCCCGGGCTTGTTGCTGCTTACAGCATGGCTGACGAAACTGTTTATACTTACCTCAGCCACCCTTCTGGACCCAACTCTGCAATGCCGCCTCACCTATCCCAAGGTTTCAGTAAGTGTTGTAATACTGTGCAAGAATTCGATTAAGGTGTTATATAAGGTTTCTGTTCTATTAAATGCAGCGCTGAGAGGGGGGGTGGATGTGAGGTTACGTATTCTTAGAGCACATGAACAAATATTTTTAGAGCACCCCAACAGGATGTTGAGCAATTTTGCAGTAACGTGGACATTCATGACAATGTACTGGAGGTACCTTTTACTACATATGAAAACGGGTTCCACGATCTCATTCCAAACAGGACTCTGAAAAACTGGAAAGGATTCCAAAGAGGCAAAAGCAGGGCTTCAAGCACACCAGGGCTTGCTGGTATCTAAGCCTTGAAGCTTTTCTGGGGCTCAGGGAACTGAAATTCCTAAGCAGCGAGG